TCTGTTTTGATGCCTGTCGGAATTAGCCCTTTAGTTGAGTGAGTGAGTGAGCGAGTATGGTTTTACGCCGCTTTAAGCAATATTCCAGCAATATCACGGCGGGGGACACCAGAAATGAGCTTCACACATTGTACCTATGTCGGGAATCGAACCCGGGTCTTCTGCGTGACAAGCGAACGCTTTAACCTCTGGGCTACCCGACCGCCCCTCCTTTTAGTTGGAGATAATTGATGACAATGTTCATTTTTATCATCATGAACATGGAATACCTAGTCACTTTGATGCCCAATATGCTGCCTGGTTGTGTGTTTGGTTCTATTGCAGCCTGCAATCATGGAAAGGATTGTACATAGTACATGCAAACTGTTAAGGGTGTACTATACATCCTCCGTATTAATACTCATGACTTGTGTTGACATTTACCTTAGACATATCAACACCTCATTTTCTAGTATATGATCAGATGTCATGTGTTCTGAGGAAAAAAATGTGCCTTGTTAACCTTCTTGAATTTCCACCTTGCGACATCAGCACAAAAAAACGCGAAGTGGTCTGGCCTGATTTTAAAATAAAAACTGGCAAATTGGTTACTGCCCAATGCATCTTTTTGAAATACATCTCAGTTACATAAAAAGACTATTGATGAGGATATCATCAAGAGACATAATGGTTAAACAGATATCAAGACATGACTAAAATAATCTTATAAACTAGGTATATGTATATAAATTCAAGAACTGGTCATGGTCACTCACATCCCCGCATCATGATATTCTTCCAAGCCCTGAAGGCGGGGAAGTATACGGGACCTTTTAATTTTGTAGCATGTATGTCGACATGTTGGTTTCAATCAGATTTTAAGCCATACAGTTACCGAAACGAAATATACAAATAATGTGCGTGAAATGTTGATGCTATTCTTTCCTAGCAATAAGAGATACTTCAAAATCGTCTTGCTATTCTGAAAGTTTCGTAATGCAGATAACCCATGAAATTTGTTCATTTTGTTTTTAAAAGAGCTAAAAATGTTTAGGGAAAATATATATCTCATTTCGCTAAAGTTAACCGGTCTATATTTTGTAAGAATAAACTATTGCGCATCGAGCGATTATCTCCTTTAGCTATAGGCGTAGTGTAGAGCTTTATCACTCACTGACCTTGCAATGCTGTTGATTGTATCTTATTCAAGCTGTATCACTGAGAGTGAGTGATTATCTCCCTTACGCGAACAGCTCTCTTGCACTACCTTTGCAATGTATCGTATGTTATTCAGGCCGCCATCGAGAAAAGTCCCAGGGAGGAATTTAGGTCAAACCTGTCACGCGCACTCAATCTTTCAACTACACATTGCTATTGCAACATATTGTTCAACACGATTAAATACCAGGTTTCTATAAAGTATGACTTTGTTCAATAAACAACACATGTAAAACATCGGGTTTGATATGAGAAATTTGTAATAAGTTGTCTTCATAATTCCATGTATGTCCCTTGCTGTGCATAGTTGAGCACAATATTGTTTCAAATAGTTCACTGTATGTAATGTATGATTCATACCGTTTCATGCGGCGGTTTACGGTTCTGCATGGTTATTGCTTTGACAGTTTTTTTAACTTCCGGCAGAGATTATACACCCGTATATGTTCTTTGCATCTGGATACATAGGAAATCAACAGGTTGGTCTGTAGTTAGCAATTATTTTCCTAAAAGATTATACGGGTGCATAATATCTTCACGATGTTTGGGTTGAACATAGTAACATTCTTCTAAACATACTTCAGATCTTAATTGGAAGCAATCACAACACAAACCCAGTTAACCAAACGGACCCGTACACAAGACTGAGTGAGTGAGTTGGGTTTAAGGCCTTTTTGAATACTATTCCGATGTGGGAGGAAAGTCCGAAGTGATGCACGGGTTTTGTGCTTACAACAACAACAACATCAGGGCGATCTGGGATTCACACACACACTGTCATAGGTTTCTGGCGTGCCCAAGGGAGACAACTCTGCATAGCGAATTGCAGCGCCTTCGGCGGCTGGGCCAACCATGCCCCCGTACACAACTGTAAGAAACTATCATACAACAAAGATGTTTTAGATGAGATATGTATTGCAGAACATTCCATGAAGAAACAGGGGCAATATTACACTACACAAACTACAAAATACATGCCCAATAAACGACAAATATAAAACACAGGTACATTCAATACACAAAGGAGGTACATTATAACAATTTTATTTCAAAACAAGTGTATTAGAATGATATGAAAACAATATGAGAATTGAGCAAAACTATGGTAATTTTGTACATACAAGGAATTTGTTTGCTATTGTTGATATAATAACAGATCTTGGAAGTTGTTTCAGGATAACTGTTGGTAAAATTATTAAGAACTGTTCCTTTTAACAGAGTGTACCAAATTCTCTATTATGATTGAGAATTGTCATTCTCTTTCTTGGTTGTATTATGTAAGACAGTGCGTAGTGTTGTTCATCTTCTGAGACATCACATGTTTCACAGAGACGTTGATTCAATGGGTTGGTGTTTTTGTATATCTACCAATTTTTAATTTGGTGTTTGTGATTACTTAAACGAAGTTTTGAGAAAAGTGACCTATGACCTTTGTTTTCACAATATGTAAGATAATTCTCAATATTTATAGATGTCTTGACCAAACTGGGTGTTCTTAACATGCTGCTAGATGAATGGGAATCCCTTAATGAATACGTGAATTTTTACATTTGAACTGAAGTTTATTTACAGTGGATTCATTACAATTTTTGTGTTTACTATTTAAACAGTTTGTTTTATTTATCCCAAACAACATTTTGACCAGAAATATTGATATTTGCGACAGAAGCATATTTTAAAATGACATTAAATTTTGTTGTTGTGTCATCTATATAGGAATTGGAATCAATTATTTTTTATTGGTACATACAGTGGGTATATATCAAGTTTTGCCTGACAGGTCCAGTTTTTGTGCCTGGGTTTTCCTTGTGCTGACTATTTAAAGACACTGTTTCTTTTATTGTGCTTTCCAAATGTAACTACATTAATAACAACCAATTTGTACTTAACACCAATTCTCTCCTCCCATAGCTTACACTTCCTTGCTCTGCACATAACATTACATTGCGGGGAACAATTGATGCTCTGCAGCAATCTCTACTGGTAACTGTATGGGAAATTAAACAGAGCAAAGTTTGTACGAACTCTGTGAAGAATCACTGGAACAGCACGAGGGCATTTACATAATGGAAATAAAAAAAATGAAAATAAAAAGTTTACAACAATGTGTCATTAAGTGTAGTATGTATATGTAGTATATTTTGTGCTGCAAAATACTGACAACGTGATTGATATTGACATATAGTTACATATATATTAAGATGACATCTCGAAGTATAAGAACGGAGTGAGTGAGTGAGTGAGTTGGGTTTAAGGCCGCTTTTAACATTATTCCAGTTTTATCGCGGCGTGTCAGCTTGATGTGGGAGGAAAGCCCGAAGTGATGCAGGTCTCAGACGTTTATCACTTCGGTGAATCCCAACGAGCACGGGTATAGGAATGTCATAAACGAGTTTCCAACAGAATACTGACATACCCTGTCATTAAGTGAAGCATACTTCCCTTTGAGTTTTCAAGCTAGAAGGTCCTAGTTATTAACGTTTATCATGAGAGACAACTAACATGGTTCTGGTGGACAGGCTTATACACTCTGCAAAAATAGAAACGCACAGGTCGATGTTTAGTAAATTTATTGTACCTAATTAGGTCGATATATTTATTTTTATATCATAGATACAAATATGAGAGTGTGGAGATCGATAGTCACATGTTGTCGTTGTACAAAGGCATTGAAAACTGTTGATTGTCATGTCACATAAGGCCACAAGGTTGCGCTGAACTCAGTATCTCGCGATCGTGTGACCGCCCCGTGCAGCAATCACGGCTCTGTATCTCCTCGGCAGTGACTGGATAAGTGTACGAATTCTGCGCCATTCTGCTTGTACCGCGTTGGCTAGTTGTGGGAGTGTCTGTGGCGTGTTCTGACGTTGACGTTCACGTCGATCGAGTTCATCCCTGAGGTGTTCGATTGAGTTGAGATCTGGAGATCTCGACGGCCAGGGCAAGTCGTTGATGTTGGCATTATGAAGGTAGTCTACCGTGACACGAGCTGTGTGCGGTGGAGCGTTGTCCTGTTGAAACAGCTCCCTCTGGCGGTCAATGATTGGAAGAAGGTGAGGTTGAAGAATTTTATTCCATGTAGCGATTTGTTGTCAAATTTCCCTGAACCACAACCAATCAGATCTCTTGGTGTAGGATATGGCCTCCCACACCTTGACACGACCGCCACCGAATTTGTCGAATTCACGTACGCAATGTGGGGCAAAACGCTCTTTTCGACGACGATAAACACTTGTCTTCCATCTCGCCGGTGAAGAAGAAATCGTGATTCATCGCTAAACCACACTCGTCTCCAGTTTCTCAAATTCCAAGGCTGTAAGGTATGGCACCAACGCAAGCGTCGCTGTCGATGGATCTGTTGCAAAACAGGGACGATAACTGGTCTTCTGGGTTGGATTCCAGCCTCGCGAAGATGGTTCCTGACCCCTGGTCCGATATCTTACTCAATCCAGGGATGCGCCCTGCAGTCTCCGTAGCTGTGGCATTGCGATGACATGACATAGGTGGAACAGTCGAATGTAGCGATCTATGCAGGGGTGGTAACTCTTGGTCGGCCGGTTCTCGGACTGGCTGCAGTGGAATTGAACTGTGCGTATCGGTCACAGAGGCGGCAAATGGCGCTGTGGTGGACGTTGAAGTGGCGTGTAACAGAAGACTGCGATTCCCCTCTTTGGATATGTCCTATGGCGAGTCTCGGCATTTTCGAACTTGAAAAATGTTGACAATTGAATGACAAATTATTGGCTTATGCTTGCCTTTTTATAGCCACTACCACGAGTTACGAATGCCATAACTTGCGCGTGCATTTTGCTTTACTGTTTTCCTCCATGACATTTTTTAACAAGTGTGAAAACAATGCCGTTTAAGTTTTGACGCACGATTTGTCGAATATCAGTCCACCAACATTTTCCTATAACATATATCCAATTTATATACAGGATTTCTTGTGTAGTCAGGTTCAATGAACTACATACTACCTGTGCGTTTCTTTTCTTTTTAATTGTGTATATCGCTGACACAGCCTTGGAGGTAAACTATAATATTATTGTGGTTATTGTATACACTTTAGAGTTTTCATGAATGTAATTAAAGTTCTTTTAATCATTTGATTCATCTTACTGTAGCACGATAAATGTTCAAATATGTAAAGCCGCATCCTGACTATAAATCGCCCGCAACGTTTCGAACAGTGACTGAGAATGTAAACACAACCGAGTGTCGGGAGAAGTTTTTTGAAAACCGTACGCAAACAAGATCATCATTGACCGTCAAACTTCGTATCAACTTGAATGACAAACCCTGGATACCGCAAATGGCTCCATATCGAGATATAAGTCAATAAAAATTGATCAAGTGTACATGTGACACATTCAATGCATTTGTGAACAAAGTGTATTGTGTTGTATATTTTACGGCAGAACAGCAGCAGAACAACAGTTTCAGTTAATGTAACATTAACGATACATAAATACGAAATTGACGACAATATTATTTCAGTTTAATCCGAAAATTACAGATATTTGTTTAATTTTGGTCATTTGCAATCAACACTTAGATGTATTGGCCTACACACAATATTCAGATTATATTTATAAAACTTATATTACACAGATTTTGCAACTCGTGTTTAGGAAGGGGCCTAATTTGAAGCACCAGAAGTTGCGCCAATATTTCTCAGCTTAACTACAATATATGAATATGTCACGTTTATCAACATTATAATGCACATAAGCAACTGATAAACAAGTAACTAAATATACTAGATGTTTTGACATACATTAGGCGTATCTAAAACTGTACTTACTATAAACGAAAACTCTAACTGAAGAGACTTAGGTCCATCATTATACGCTCAAAAAGTATGTCATTCTGATGCTGCTGGTTTGTGAATGTTTAGCTGTAGAACACAAACAGCTTGCCTTCAGGCAACGCACCCACATCCTTGTACTTGTGAAGATCCTTCTCTTGAACTTTCACTGCTACGATGTGTTTATACCCTGTTTGTGACAACTCACCAGGGCATGTTCTGATAACCGGAAAATTTGATATGTTCCTAGAAAGCAAAACACACGTGACATACAAAATATCGCTCTCAATAATCCTACTTTTCATATTTTCAATTGCGTTTGCTACCAGTTTCCGCTTATCGTGGATTTAGTTCTAGCGGATTATTCTGTGTATCAGCACAATGCTGGTATTCGTACAGGGAGGGTTCACGAACGTGGTAACCTATACAACCTGTGTAAATATTATGAAAAACATTGCTTTGAAAATAACTTTTACGTATTCAAAACATGCTTTCAATTCCATGACTTGTTCTCGGTCGCTGAAACAAACGACTGGCTCGATGAACAACGGCCTTATTTTTTATGTTTAGTTCCTTGTACTTTGTATATAAAGCGCAATTTAGACAGATCGGGTGGTCAGGCTCGCTGACTTGGGTGATGCAAACATGCATCAATCCCATTTGCGTGGATCGATGCTCATGTTGTCAATCACTGGATTGTCTGGTCCAAACTCGATTATTTACAGACCGCCGTCATATAGCTGGAATATTGCTGAGTGCAGCGTTTAATACAAACAAACAAACAAACAAACACTAAATCACACACAACGTTGTTTAATGTATACTTACGTAAGTTTGTCTTCAAGATCCGAATCATGACAGATCAACATGCATTTAAATCGTCTCTATAATGCAGATACTGAGTTAGATTAACTCACTCCCCTACTCACTCATAAACATCACACAGTCACCAGAAACACTTCCAGGTACACATACATATCGTATATCCTAAACATGGGATTCATCAAACCAGAAAAGCCTGTTTTTGAAATGTTTAATTCCTTGTACTTGGTACATATTATTGTGGTTTGTTATAAAATAATAATATTAAAACAAAGATGATTAGTGGTGTTAGCACCAGGTCATTCTCTCACGGTTTAATAAATACTTACGCAAGTTTGTCTTTGAGAGTGAGATCATGACAGATCAACAGGGCGCCGCCATCCTGATTCAGACGCCTTGCAATTTCCACTGCCATGACTGTCTTCCCACTTCCTGGCTTGCCGGTTATGAAACACGGTTTGACTTTGTTCAGAAGGTCTTGCATGAACCCCAGCTGTTTCTGTGTCAGTTGGTAGATTGGAACGTTGTCAATATCGTCTTGTTTTGGCCGAGTGTAGAAGGGAACGCTTGTGGCCGACCTCACAAAATGTAGGCTTTTCTGGAGGTTCTGGAACTTTCTTTGGTACATAGTCATTCTTTCATATGGGTAGAGGTGTCGATTCTCCTGAAGCAACGTGGCAGACAGCTGTTTCCGTTTGATCTTTGTTGACTCGTCCACCACCGTGCAGAGAAAGTTGAAGGATTCGTCTGTAAAATCTCTCATTTTGTGTGTGAGTTCCCGGGCCAGCGACCTGGCATAGTCATTGGCATCAGCCGCAGTACGATTCTTGTCAGCTTGTAATTTGTCAGTACAATATACAACACACAGCAATGGAACTGTTTCTTCACTGAGGAAGATCTTTGTGTTCTGAACGCCAGGAGGCTGACGATCTGCTTCCGTGAGACCAAATTCTGTAGCAAGATTCTGTGAAGTATGTTTCAACTTTTTGGCTTGAGCAGAATCTGTTTAAAAGAAATCGCATACACGTACACCACATCACGTTTACCAATACAATGATGGGATGAGGACTAACACCTGATTGACAATGTGATCCTCACGGGGCGCAGATATCCAAAACCCTTTTCGATATTCATCGGAAATCTCTGACAAAAACAGTCGGCTGTACTATTCCAACTATATTGTTTGAACATTGATCAAACAACTTCTGAGCAAGAGTCGTATGACACTCTTTGACATCTTGGTCGAAAGAGCATGTTCGATTGTACCTCAAAACTTGTGAAATATCACACCAAGGACTGGAGCTGCAGACGTATTGCTCGACATGAAGGGAAAGGTGGCTATTGTAAAGTTGAAGTAATCAACTAGTCATACAGTCTTGTGGAGTGTGTTTTGTCACTGAATATTTATGCATAGATCTAAATAAAAAACAGATGAGGTTGTCTCACTGGTCTCTTCCTTTCTTCTTCAGATGGTTAAATTAGTGGAAAAGAATTGGCTATTTGATGGTTATTGAACGATATCAGGTCGTCGATATACCTAAAGCTCAAATTTAAACGTTTGGCAAAATTACCAAATTACGTTTTGTCTTTGCCAATCCAATCCGAGCAAAAATAAAGAAACAGCAAGAAGGGGAGCATAACTGGGATTGGGAGCACAAAGAGGGATTACTTATGGCACATGTGTGCGTGTGCGTGTTCGTGTGTGTGCGTGTGTGTGTTCGTGTGCGTGTGGCTGCTTGTACGGATTAATGCCGATTTTATAGTGCTAACCCACTGACATACCATGCCGCAGTTTAACATGAATATCCCAGTCAGACAGTATACTGACTCCGAGCCGACCAGTCCTTGTTTTATCCCCTTAATGCCGAGCGCCAGACAGGGTAACAACTAGTACCATATTTTAACGTCTTCTAACGATCGAACCCACAAACGTCCTCTCTCCGGGCAGACGCTTTGCCACTAGGCCACAGAGGCGGTCACATACGTTATAAAGGTTTGTGATTTGACATCACTGTTGCCAACTACAAAAGAAATCCCATCATCCTTTATCAAAATGGCTTTTTTATCCCAGCAAACCTTTAAGATGTGGGTTCGAATTGGTCACAGCAACCCATGCTTGTCGTAAGAGGCGACTAAGGGGATCTCTTTATTCCATTCAGTAACTAAGACTTACGTTTCCCCGATGAAACTGCTAGTATACAAACCTTTATCCTTGGGAAAGTTAAACACAGCTGGCATGAATGGATTGAGTGTTGCCACACGTTGTTCAACCAAGTCCAGAGGGTTTAGGGAAGGACCTGACAAAATGGAACACAACAACTACTACATTATACAAACTGACTCCAAGCCGACCAGTCCTTGTTTTATCACCTTAATGCCGAGCGCCAGACAGGGTAACAACAAGTACTATATTTTACCGTCTTTTAACGATCGAACCCACGAACATGCTCTCTCCGGGCAGACGCTTTACCACTAGACCACAGATGCAGTCACATACAATATAAAGGTTTGTTGACAGTCCGGCTGACATGTCATCTTTTCCCAATTTCGTGGATCGATGTGCATGATGTCAATTCCTGGCTTGTCTGGTCTAGACCGCCTTTATGTAGCTGGATTGCTGTGCGCGGCGATTAAAACAAATAAACAACATGTATATAACATGTCTCGATTGTGTCTCAGATTCCATTGGGCGTAAACGGCAAAAAGAAAATTATGAACAGATCACTGAAAATCAAATCAAACACAAATTAGTTTACATATTAGTCATTTCCACGAAGAGTAAACATGGAATTCATATATTATATATATAGCAGTTGATCTGGAATAACGACGCAAAAACAACAACACTGAGGACGATCAAACTGACAGCATGTGGCAAAAAGGTAGTTTTATCAATCGTTCTTTATATCAACATTCACTAATCGATTAAGGGTCGCCTGTGCCGCAATACGTGTGAAGACATGTATAAGAGGCTCCATCTAAAGAAGTAGTACTTATACTACTAAAGGGACCGGGTGGTAGGAGACTGATTGGGGGCTCACTGCCCATAGTACCAACAAGATATTTTCCGTTTCTAAGACTCGTACATAGAGAATACTACACTCATTACTCGTCTACTCTCTATGGTATCTGACCGAGCGATCGCTCGGTCAGATACCATAGAAAGTCCACTCGTTTCGTAAAAATGGTATCTAACGAGAATGAGTGTGGATTTTATTTATTACCCACGTCAAAATATGTATGTAAGTGTAAATACACTAAATACATTGATAAATACCCAAATATGGGCATTGTTGACTTTTCTATGCATATGCATTAACAACATGTTCCTGCTGTTGTGTGTGCAAACATGACAGCATCAAGGCTCAAGATCTTATTTTATAAATTTATTCAACATATGGTAATTCAAGCGCATTGTTGTTAGTACGCACGACAACTATTAGAAAATCTAAAAAGTCAATTTGCGCCGCGCTTTGAACATCGGACAATCAGTCGGTCACACGCACCGCCGGGGTTCCCGGCAGTGCAATCAAGCTTTTGCGGTTTCCTTGATCTATCAGGTGAATTTATATCCTGTCCGTACCATTATGGAAGAGAGAAATCAGAGTACTCGCCAAAGGCATTCATGTTAACTATACGACCCGATATTGAAGACTTTAAAATCAACAAACTCAAGTATGTTGGCATGTCAGTGACAGCTTCGAACGAAGGGCAAGGTCACCATCGGAATAAGAAAAGACAACCGTGATCTAATCACAGTGTTTGACGCCAGGGAATGTTATTGTTCACATTTGGGATGTTCTGGGCCACGAAATCAGAAGTCCAGCACACTTCCACGAAGTTTTTGAATGATTTGTATCGGAACTGTTCACTTTAAGTGGTCTGGTCGTGCAGTCGTGTATGTTCATTCATGAACAAACACCTCCCGTAACAGTGCACGTACTACGCTTCGAAGGGGACACTGATGGTACAACCGGAGCACCCAACGCATGTCCAGATAGTTAAAACTGACTTCATTTCACCATGCTTATCCTTTTATGTTACATCAAATTGAAAGTCGATAAAGGGGTTGGGTGGGACCTTTGATCTATCGATCGGTAGTAGTACATTGCAAATGAAAAAAATGATTCCAGCTCGATTATATAATGTCTGTACAATGCAAAGCAAAGCAAAGTTGATGCACTGACTGTCTTGTTTGGTTTAATAAAGTGTTTGTAAATGTCGCTCGCTTTCATGAGATTGCTTCGGTTCTGCATTGTAGTTGCAAATAGAATGACGTTCCGCGATTTTTTTATGAATGAAAAAAGTGGTTCCGGTGTGACAAAGGTCACGGTTATCTAAATAAAACGAATAAAACGAGGTCAACCTTGTACGACACAGGTGTGACGTACGGATTTAGTATCTTGCCACCTGTATCTTCACCACGTGGGTAATAAATACAGATATGTTTGATATAATGTTACTAATGGCTTTCTCTGAAAATAAAAAGAATCTTACCCATGAATTCAAGGTAGCCATCGTCTGTCTTGTTTTCGTCATCTATAAGAGACGAAAACGGATTGTCATTTAAAAACATGCGGATTTTATTACTGTAACTCTATTAAATCCACTGCCAGGACTTTATGAAAGGAAAGTGTTTTGTGTGACTTTTGAAGAATCTGAGTGATTATGGTAAACCAACTGCTTTCCACAATGTTCTAAGAAATCAAATAGCTTTCCGTTCAAACGTGCAAAATAGACTAGTTGTCGATCGAGTCCAAATCTTTAAGTGTTTAGATTGTGCTGGAAATGCAATAAACGGTACAGCAGATAACTGTAGTACTTATCTTCTGTACCCGTGAATATCCGGGTAGAGAATAGGTCTTCAGCAACCAATGTTTGCCATAAAAGGTGACTATGTTTGTCATAACAGGCGACTAAGGGGATCGGTTCGCCAGGCTCGCTGACTTGGTTGATGTATGTCATCGATCCCAATTGCGTGGATCGATGCTCAGGATGTCAATTACTGGATACAAACTTATCAGTTCTCCAAAAATGTCGATGTACTTGGTTTTGTTTGTACCTTGAAGCTGTGCGACAGAACGCGACGAAAATTCATCACTGATGTATTCTGATGTCAGTTGAATGAATGAATGAATCCCAATAGTTTTTTAGATACATTAGGGTGCCAGTGGTGACGTTACTGGAATGAATTCAAAACTGACAGATTATTTGTATACATTAACCACCAAACCTGGTAAAACCATTTTTCAGGTACTTATTATTTCTTACTCACCAACTGAGAGCTTTCTGGATTTACTTCCTCTTCCTCTTCCTCGTTTTATATCATTGTCACTGTCATAGCTGCCATAACCGCCATCACTGGAAATTTTGTCACTGTTACTTATCAAGTAATGGCATCTCTTCCTTTTGTCACCTGCACTTCTCATCACTCTCTGATTCACTATTATATTCATCTGTCTTGAATAAGATATCTTTGACCGTGTTTTCAAAAAGAGTGATTCTGCCAATTTGCTCCTGCTTCTGCAAAATCATGAACAAAACCTTACAAACAGTCGAATATCGTCTTTAAAATTCAGCAGTTCCAAGGATTAGATTGTTTGAGGGAAGCAATGAGATGTGTCCGTTTGAAATCATAACATTTGATGAATCACCATACATACACATGAACAGAATGAGCACAGACATGCTTGCTGTCGGATCAGTACGTTTTGTTACATAAGACAAGATAATCGACGAGCAGAGATAACCAGACTGGCATTTCCACTCGTTAGGTAGAAAAATGTCTGACATCTTTTATTTGGCCATAATATCTTTACAGCATTGCTCTATAGAACAGTCAAATCCAATGTGTTTCTCTGGACATCCTACAAAGGCGACTGTATTTAAGGCTATTAAGTTGATATATTTTCTCTCATGCACTTTCATGCAAAGGATGTAGTGATTTTCAGAATTCAAATGTTGATAGACATAATTGGAAACATATACATGTATGTTGATGCCCGAACTATGCTGGCTAACTCGTCTCAATAATTTCATTTGTGTCCCTCCAACATAAATCAATCTACAAAGTGTACACCAACATAGATGACATTTCCGCATTTCTAAGTGGGCAAAGGTGTTGTTGCCATGGTTTAATAAAACCCAGTAATGTTTTACATCTTGACTTGAACGGGGATTTCGAAACATTAGTGCTGTTTCTACACTAATTAGTGAGTGCGTGAGTGAGTTTTGGCTTAACGCCGCTTTTAGCAATATTCCAGCAATATCACGACGGGGGACACCAGAAATGGGCTTCACACATTGTACCCATGTCGGGAATCGAACCCGGGTCTTCGTCGTGAAGAGCGAACGCTTTAACCACTTGGCTACCCGACCGCCCCCACTAATTAGTAGTCATAACATATTGGAAAAGAATGTCCTGACACAAATTGTCATGTTCGCTACTGCATACTATAGGTTGTACCCCCAATTACTCGACTCCCATTGATTAGATCATACACAGCTACTGCATTAAAGGAAACTCTTTTAAAAACATGTTAAATAGTATTACAAAGTACAGATTGCTGTGACGTCATAGTGGAGAGATGATGGCAATTGTGTTTTGTTTTCAGTGCATATCATCTACATAACAAGGAATTGATTTTCCGTGTTTCTCGGCGTTTTGAAGACTCCAAATCGGATATTGTGTCATCTTCCCGAGGCAATGGCGTTAAACCTATAAAAGTCTGGTTTCCACCCTTACCAAACAAGGCTGGAATTTCCAGGCTCGGTCGTAGTGCCACCAGTGGCTATTACGAGTTATGTCCCTTCTATGTCCCTCCTATGACCAATCAGATTCCATCTCTCATATCGCTTGCATTTGCTTCAAACAAAGTGGCGGCGCCCAGTCAAGACGATCTGATCGACAATCAAGATCTATATTGTAATAAAACCCCGCGAAATGCATCAAATCATTTCAGCACCTTGATTAAAAAGCATGAAAAGATTTGGAAAATATCTGTCGACGCCCTGTTGGCTGTACACAAACCCTGCAGTCGACCGAAATATGCACGTTGAAATCCACGTTGTTTACATACCGGATGTCCAGTTTGTTACGCGATTTTGATTGGACTATGCTTGGACTTGTTAGTCTAGCCAAAGTGTAACACCGGAACTCCAGCCTTGTTCGGCAAGTGTGAAAAATGTGGAAAATGTGGAAAATGCTATTGTGTGAGCGTGTGGTGTACTAGTTTATCAACCAAATTACCAAGTGTAATTTTTTTAATTTCCAGGCGAAAAGGTCGATTTAGTGAGGACGAGAGTACGGGTAAAGCGATGTCAGCGAGGAGGAAAAGGGAAACTGGAATTGCGGTTTTGTGTTTATCTAGCTTTTTAAGGCATCTATGAGAGTTATCCACACAAACTAAACGAACTTGGTTAAGAAAATAAATTTAGCCATCATTATTACATATAATCCATGACTGACTACTCTCGCACAACAATTAGAAGGGAAATTGCTCATAAATCAGATCACATGGTTATGTATATATTTGGCACAATTATGGTTTACATAAAATCACATATTCAGTTCATGGTCTTGCGCAGTACGTGAAACCCTTGCCTGATCCTGCAGGACAGGTCTCCCTTATTTTATTCACAAGACATGCAGGACAAACTTTTCTACATGTTAGTCTGCCCTCCTCCCCTGAATCCCGAATACCATCTACATTTTCCCTTCTGAGTGCTTTCTTGCTCACCCCTGAAACCAGAATACTACTCAACACAACTCTCAAAAGCATCAAGAAGAGGTTGCTATTTCAAGTAAAAATATGGAAAAAAAGTAAATCTACAAACTTTTGCGTACACCATTAAAAATTCTTATAAATGTTGAATCTGCATAGCAAATACGAATTTATATGAGTCCCGCGTACCACATCGGTGAGTACTGAATACCCTCTAAACAGACCCCTGAATCCCGCGTACCACATCTGTGAGTACTCAATACCCTCTAAACAGACCCCTGAATCCCGCCTACCACATCGCTGAGTACTGAATACCCTCTAAACAGACCCCTGAATCCCGCGTACCACATCTGTGAGTACCGAATACCCTCTAAACTCACCCCTGAATCCCGCGTACCACATCTGTGAGTACCGAATACCCTCTAAACAGACCCCTGAATCCCGCCTACCACATCTGTGAGTACCGAATACCCTCTAAACACACCCCTGAATCCCGCGTACCACATCGGTGAGTACTGAATACCCTCTAAACAGACCCGGGGGCACGGGTGGCCCAGTCGTCTAAGGCGCCGCGATTCGCTTTGCAGAGTTACGTCCCTTGGGCACGCCAGAAACCTATGATTGTGGGTTCGAATCCCGGTTCGCCCTGATTATGTTTCTAGGTTTGTCAGCACCATACCCGTGCTCGTGGGTTTCACCGAAGTGGTAAACGTCTGAGACCTGCATCACTTCGGGCTTTCCTCCCACATTAAGCTGACACGCCGTGATATAACTGGAATACTATTAAAAGCGGCGTTAAACCCAACTCACTCACTCACTCACTAAACAGACCCCTGAATCCCGCGAACCAAAAGGGGGTTGGCAACCTCAGCTTTAGGACGTCTTTAAAATAATGAACCAGACAAGATGTTGAGAATCGTCTGTATGCCGAGTATCAGTAAGTCCTGAAACTGAGTCCTCGTTTCAAAAAAGAATAAAAAACACGTTTATGATCATCACCACGAACATTATATACAATTTTGAAGTCAATTTGAAAAAAGAATTTTTGTGTCAGTTTTATTGGGTATATGTTTATTCTCGATTATTAACAATCAGAGGCTGATCCATCGGTGGGGAGCTCGAGGGAAGTTTTTACTGGCTGTGGATTTTAAAAGCAGGGAGGGTTGGGGTAAGGGTTAATTAACCCCTTGAATCCCGCCTCTGGATCTACCATCGAAGAATTTTCAGTCATTTTCTGTCTAAATCTGGGATAAGTGATAGTTACAACAGTCCGTTTGACTCCAAATCAGAACGATGAATTGCAAAATAACTCGAAATCCAGAAAAGTGTATGAAACATCAATACGGTACTTGACCATGAAAACCCTGTACCCAACAAAATCTGAATTTTGTTTATTTTAAGACCCATGACGGATATAGTTCTTAAAGAAACTATCTTGTAATTTTGTATCGAAATGTGTACATGACACATAGGGGGGACAAACCGTTGTTCATAGTTCCCGACGATACAGTATTACCGCCCTAAATAACCATAAGCATAGGTAGTTTCACCATCCTTATCAATCCATCTCTTTGTATCTAAGGGGGATAATGATGTCTTGTTCATCCTTAATCCATATATCCTATGATTGTAACTTCTTAAAGAGTTCATTTCATGTTTGAATGTTCTACCGTTGAATAATCTTTCTTTATACTGTTCGTGTTTGATATGCTTTTTTACCACATACTTCTTAACACCCTTAGCTTTTCTTATCTCTCCATTATCGGACTTCTTTATATAACACCTCTTAGGTCTTAATCCTACATACTCCGCTATAGGGGTCCCAGCACATTCATCCTTCATCTTACCTCACACCTTTTTATTTACTACGCTGTGCAGTGGATTATCTTTAGGGTAATCGCTCGTGTCGTACATATCTATTTTTTCTACCATATCTTTATACACATCCTCGGTTTGTATTTCCATCAACAAAGAATCTGTGTCGGTATATAACACCTCGCATCTATCGCCGTATTGCTTCTAAAGTTCGTTGTAATAAAAGTCATACATTAAGTGTTTTGACAAGTCGATCATTTTCCACCGGCTACCAAAGCCGCGAGTCTTTCTCTATGTTTATCTAAAGATCTATCTACATTTTGATCTACATGTTGATCAGGTTCTTTGAGCATTTGTTCGATGAGTTCGTCGCATTCCATAATGTAATACCTAAGGAGATATTTAAGACTAACATAATTTAATATGGCATATCCAATACAGCCCGTAATAATAAACTGTTGCGAAAGAATGAGGATTTCAAACCACATTATGTCATAATAACCGCTAATGTTTAATTTATCGTATTTTTGCTATATTTGCTATAATTTTGCTATAATTTTGCCACATTTTGCTTTAATTTTGCCACATTTTGCTATAATTTTGCCATATTTTTGCTACATTTTGCCATGTTTTGCTAAGCAATTGCATAAGCAGCTGGTTGATCGGTTTTTAATATGAGTTTACAGTGCTTCGTTGCCGCTAACAGTTTTCTGACTTTATCTTGTTTGAGCTTGGTATAAATAACATCATTTTCGCGTAAACATTCCTCGAATGAATCTCGGTCTTTGCAATGAAACAGGGCTACCCATTTGGTCTGCTGTCTGAGATCTTTCAGGACAGAGTTGTATTTTTGAGTAAGTACCCAAACACTATGCCATCCGGAGAATGCTAAATACGAAAGCATATCTTTCTTTTTGGTGAGTTCTTTACTCGCGCTGCAGTCATCTATTACTATGTATTTTTAGTGAAATACTCGTAAACAGT